AGATACTGTGTAGTATTGAAATGTCCATACCCTTGCCTTGTCTTTAGATTACCATCCTGTGCCAGCAGGTCCCACACCCCACCTGCTTTATTATTATTATTATTATTATTATTATTATTATTATTATTATTATTATTATTGAGGAAATAGACCCAGGAAGGTCTAAACCTGAAGGAGGGGAGCCCCATGCTTGCACTAAATTTGTAATAATTCAGAAACAGAATTTCATGAATTTTGAATGTTTCTTGGGCTTAAGTCTCATTTCTGCTCTAGACTGTAGACCTTTTTCTATTTTTTTTTTTTTTCTTTTCTTTTTTTTTTTTTGGTTTTTTCAAGACAGGGTTTCTCTGTGTAGCTTTGCGCCTTTCCTGGAATTCGCTTTGGAGACCAGGCTGGCCTCGAACTCACAGAGATCCACCTGCCTCTGCCTCCCGAGTGCTGGGATTAAAGGCGTGCGCCACCACCGCCCGGCCTATTTTTTTTTTTTTTTTTTGGTTTTTCGAGACAGGGTTTCTCTGTGTAGCTTTGCGCCTTTCCTGGATCTCGCGCTGTAGACCAGGCTGGCCTCGAACTCACAGAGATCCGCCTGGCTCTGCCTCCCGTGTGCTGGGATTAAAGGCGTGCGCCACCACCGCCCGGCCTATTTTTTTTTTTTTAAATACAGGGTTTCTCTGTGTAGTCCTGGCTGTCCTGGAACTCCTGTGGAAGCCAGGCTGGCCTTGAACTCACAGAGATCCGCCTACCTTGGCTTCCCCAATGCTGGGATTAAAGGTGTGTAACACCATGCCTGACTGTAGGGCTCTCGATAGCAAGAGATTATTGTTATCTGGATGTGCTGTCACATGCCTATAATTTCACACCGGGAGGCAGAGGCAGAAGGATCAGGAATTCTTGAGGTCAGTTTAGGCCACAGGAGACCCTTTCTCAATACATAACAAGGATGTGTCCTCAATCTTGGTGAGATGATTGGAGCTATATAACTCAGTGGGTGCTTGCCTAGCCTACTGGATTCTATTCAAATCACTCCCTACCAAAGACAAATCTTTTTATCTTATTTTTTGTTTTATATACATTGGTGTTTTGCCTGCATGTATGTCTGTATGTGGGATCCCTTGGAAATGGAGTTACAGACAGCTGTGAGCTGCCATATGGGTGCTGGGAATTGAACCCAGGTCCTGTGGAAGAGCAGCCAGTGCTCTTAACCACTGAGCCATCTCTCCAGCCCCCAAAGACAAATCTCTTAACCATGGTGCAAAATCTTGAGACAGTGTTGACCTTTCCAGAGTAAACATACTGAAAAAAGTCTGCCTGTTAGATCTTACACACACAGGCTGTGTGTCCTGGTTTGGATTTGACAAACAGTCATTTCACAGGCTGCTATGCTACAGCTGAGTTCTCTGGCTCCTGGGTATTCCAGGATGGTCCTTCTTCAGAAATTACTTCCAACTGGGAGGATGGGAGGAGCCCCGGGGTGCGAGAGAGAGATATAAGCAGAACTAGGAGTGAATAAGAGGGTAGAAAGTGGGGTGTCTTGTGGGCGGGGTGCTGCCGTCACATGGCTACCTCCTCCCTCCCTTTCCACAGAGCCTGTCATCCACCGTGACCCTTCAACACTCCTCACTCCCTCCTGGAGTCAACATCTCTTTTGAATCTCACTGTAGGGGTCCTGAGAAGAGGGAGGGTGAGGCTGGGGACCGGGGACAGTGCAGTAACATCCGAGTCAACCAGACGGTAAGAGCCAGCCAGCAGGGATAGATACATAAAAGTGGGAAACAGAAGCAGGAAAATATATGGGGGCAGCCATGGAGAGGAGGGGTAGGCTTCCACTCATTCTTAATTTACTGCATGGTCAGTGGGCTTAGGGGTGTGTGTGCACACATGAGGATGTGTATAGCTTGTGTGTGTATGAACACAAGGGTATATATAGCTTAGGGGTATGTGTGTGCCCACATGAGGGTGTGTGTAGCTTAGGTGTGTGTGTGTTGTGTGTGTGAGTGTGCGTGCGCGTGCACGCACACGAGGGTGTGTATAGCTTCGTCTGGTCCTCCTATCTTCAGGTAGACTTCTGGGTTACTCTTCAAGCCACTCACTGCCTCCCAGAGCCCCATCTCCTACGGCTCTGGGCCCTCGGCTTCTCGGAAGAGTTGACTGTGGAGTTACACACTCTGTGTGACTGTAACTGTAGTGACGCCCAACCCCACGCTCCCCACTGCAGCGATGGCCAGGGGGACCTTCAGTGCGGGATATGCAGGTGAGGGAGGGCTTTACGTGCTCCTCCGGCTCCCATGACCCTCTGCTTGCATTCCTCCTCCTTTGCTTCCTGCCCCCTGGAGCATCCTAGACCCCTTAGGACTCCATCTGAATGTCATGCCCCGAAGAAGCTTCCCATATATGCTGAGGCCTTCTCCTTGACGCGAATCCCTCCACTCTTTCCTCCACCCTGGGCCCCCTATTGTAGCCTGGTATCATTGTTCCAGCTACTCTGTCTCCATCTCCCTTGAGAACATGGGCCTAGAGCAGTGGTTCTCAACCTTCCTAACGCTGTGTGAGCTTTTAATAGTTTCCTCAGATTGTGGTAATCGCCCCTCCCCCCGCCCCCAACCATAAAATTATTTTTGCTGCTACTTCACAACTGTAATTTTGCGACTGTTATGAATCATAATGTAAATATCTGGGTTTCCCCATGATCTAAAGCAACTCTTGTGAAAGGGTCATGTGACTCTCAAAGGTCGTGACCCACAGGTTGAGAACCACTGGCCTAGAGGCTCTTGGGAGACAGGCCAGAGATGGTCAAACTCTGACCCATCTCTCTCTGCTTTCCCCTCCCAGCTGTGCCCCTGGCCGCCTTGGTCAGCTGTGTGAGTGCTCTGAGGCGGAACTGTCCTCCCCAGATCTGGAGTCTGGCTGCCGGGCCCCCGATGGGACAGGGCCCCTCTGCAGCGGGAAGGGGCGATGCCAATGCGGTCGGTGCAGCTGCAGCGGACAGAGCTCTGGGCGTTTGTGCGAGTGTGATGACGCCAGCTGTGAACGACACGAGGGCATCCTCTGTGGCGGTACTGGGGTCTTTGGGAGACGGGAGGGGTGGGAGGGCCTCCTGGGGCACTTGGGCTCGCCTGGCACAGTGGAGACGGACTGGAGCGGCATGCTGTGCCGACTGTGCGTGAGTATGGCGGTCACCCTGCGCACGGCTCTTCCCCAGGCTTTGGACACTGCCAGTGTGGAGTGTGCCACTGTCACGCCAACCGCACGGGCAGAGCGTGTGAGTGCAGTGAGAGCGTGGACGGCTGCGTCAGTCCTGGAGGAGGGCTCTGCAGTGGGCATGGACACTGCAGGTGCAACCGTTGCCAGTGCCAGGATGGTTACTACGGGGCCCTGTGTGACCAGTGTCTGGGCTGCCAGTCACCCTGTGAGCAGTACAGGTGAGGCCTCGGGAACCGGGGTACGGGGGCTTGCTCAGAACTCCTGCCTGCCTGCCTGTTCTCCTCTCCTGTGTGGGGGCGGGCTAGCAGGTAACAGCTGCCCAGATGGGAACTCACTGGCATTCACCGGACAGGGACTGTGCAGAGTGTGCGGCCTTTGGCACTGGTCCCCTGGCAGCCAACTGCAGCGTGGCCTGTGCTGATGTGAATGTGACCCTGGCCCTGGTCCCTAATTTGGATGATGGCTGGTGCAAAGAGAGGACACTAGACAACCGGCTGTTCTTCTTCCTGGTGGAGAATGTGGCTGGAGGAGTCATCCTGAGAGTGAGGCCCCAAGAGAGTAAGTGGGCGTTGGAACCTCAGAACTGGGGATGTGAATGAACCCAGGGCAAAGGTGGAGGGGGCTGAGGCCCTAGGGAGGAGGGCAACCTTGGGTTCTGCTGGGTCCTGTTCTCAGCGACCGGGCTGAGGGGGACACTCTTTGGGAAACTGTGCATCAGCTCTGATACCTTGGTCCTACCAGAGGGAGCAGATCACACCCGTGCCATCATACTGGGCTGCATAGGTGGCATTGTGGCAGTGGGACTAGGGCTAGTCCTGGCTTATCGGCTCTCCGTGGAAATCTATGATCGCCGTGAGTATAGCCGCTTTGAGAAGGAGAAGCAGCAGCTGAACTGGAAGCAGGTGAGGCCAGCTCCTGTGGCCACCAGTTAGGCTTTCCTTACTCGACTTCTCTGGTGGGTTTTCTCTTCCCCTTTCTGGTTCCCTAACCCATAACTAGCTCCAAAGCTCCCCCACCCACGTCCCTCCCTCAGCATAACCAGGCCTTCTAAGATCTGACTTAAGTTCTAGGTTGGCCTTGCAGAACTAGGTAATGGGGAGAGCCTGACATTTTCCTTACAGTTTGCAATGTTTTCCCACAGGACAGCAACCCTCTCTACAAAAGTGCCATCACAACCACGATCAACCCCCGCTTCCAAGGGACAAACCCTCCGGGTCCCTCTCTCTGACCCAGGCAGCTCACTTAGGACTCTTGTCTTGGAGGACAGTGGGGAGCAGTGGGCAGGGTCTGTCAGGTGGCCGTCAATCTGTTTTCAGAGTGACCTTCAGAGGGCTGCTTCCTACTGCCTGGACCATGCCCCACCTCACAAAGGGTTCTCGTACAATAAACTCTCGCCTCAGACTACAGCCTCCACTTTGCTTTACCCCAAGACAGAAAAGCAGACTGCCCAGCCCAGGTCTCAGGTCACCAGAGGGCAGGCATGTTTCTGTTGTGTGACCTGGGAACACCTGGGCCAGCAGAGTCTCAGGTGATGCTGATGGAGTTATCTACCACCTTCTACGGGACCTTACCTAGACAGGAGTCAGGACATAACTTGTCAGGCTGTCGAGAGCCTTTTTCTCAGCAAACATAGTAAGTTTTTGCCTCTGCTTGTTGCTCTTGTGTGGAGAAGAGAGGTTTCAGCAGAGCAGTTCACTCTGTTCCAAGTTGTATCGAGGGAAGAAAGGGAGCCTATTAAAACCATTCTGCCCTTCGGCAATAAAGTGCCCCCCACAAATCAAGTCTTCTCAAAGAGGGGCTGGAATGTAGAAAAGCGCCATTCTTTTTATTTAAATATCCTAAATATATCACGAAGGAACATACACTGCACTTTAATGGTAAAAAGATACAAGTTTATAACATCTTATAAAAACTACCATTTAAAAGTGATCTTGTTCATTTGATAGTCCCCTCCCCCATAGCAAAATAAGTATATTTAAAAAAAAAATGGTGCATGGCAGGAGGGGAATTGAAGATAAAAGCCCAGGGCCACGGCAGGGGCAGAAGGAACCTGGGGCGAGGGTTACTGTGGTGCAACTCCACTCCTCTAACCCTCCGGGTCAAGCCATGGAGCACAATCAGTAGCTAAGTGATGACAGGCCGCTGCTGGGGATGGATGGGAAGGGCAGGCACCAGCAAGGGCAGGATGTGGGCTGGCACAGGAGCCCACCCAGGGACTGGTATCTCTCTCCCCACCCAACCCCACATTCACATTTTGATCTCCCATCTACACACACCTGAGCATCTGTCCAGTGCTAACAGGCCACCGCGGCAGAGGTGCAGCCATCTGCGGTTTCCCTGGGGTGGAGATGTGGTTCCTGGGCCCTTGGTGTCCTATTACTCTTCGCCCCAGAGCCTGCCTGTCCTCAACCACTGCCAGCCTGAGCTTCTCACACCCAGGCCTTGGCAGTGTGGTTCTGGTAGGGCCATCTGTACATACATCCCAAAGTTCTCTCCACTCAGGCAGGAAGCCGAGGTCTGCAGGGCCTGCTCTAACCCAGTACATACATTCATACATGAAGAAGCATGGGTCACTCTTCTATTTCTCCCCACAAAAAGATCATCTTCAAGTAGCAGGGAGGGATTCCACTTCCAGAAGCATTTCTGGGAGGATATCTTTCTCAGTGTATCCTTTCCCAGAGTTGAATGACAGAAAAAGCCCAGCCCAGCAGAACCCTCTAACACCAAAGGTCTGCTTTATGTGCACAGAGATGCCAGGGGCCACACGGTGCATCAAGCACTGAGTGCAGGTTCCAGAGCATGTCGAATGTAGGGACAGCATGAAGCTAGAACACACGGCAGTGAGCATCCTCAGATACCTCACCCAAGGCTCTCAGATGCTGTCAGAGTCAAGATGAAGGTTGCAACATCTTCCCTTCCTTTTCCCTGAAGTACTTCAACCCAAGAGGTATGATGTACTGTCCCTCAACACATTGGAAGAGGCCATAGCCAACAGTCTGTTGCTGCCTGGCCCTCATTTGCTAGGCAAGAACTTCTTGGAGGCTGCCATCTCAGATTCCTACCCACAGCTACAGCTGTGAGTGTGCTCAGGTCAGTCTCCATGATTATACCTGAAGTCGGTCCCCCAGGGTGGGGTAGTGCTCAATGAAATCCAAAACCTCCCTTAAGGATCCTTTCTTTAGCAGGAAGGGAGTTATTTCTCTTTAGAAAATACATGTTCATAAGCCCTGGCTTAGAAACACTCTAAGCAGTACACCGTTGAATCAATCTAAAAACAATGAAAACAAACAAAAAAACAAAAAAACCAACCCAAAAATCTTCCTGAAACAAAACCCCTCGGCTCCCTTGTTCTCTGGGAGGCAGGTACCCTTCAGGTCTGGGCGGGGAAGCTGCTCTATGCTTTCTGTCCTCCAAGTTGGTGGCCGAATAAATTTGGCTCAATAATTTTCATCCCTTCCAGGCAAACACACACAAGCACCCACAAATCAGACAGAGACACACACACCTCATCACTTTTCCAGGGGCAGACAAGATGGGGGTTTGGAACACAGTAAGGTCAACACTAAAACAGACATTAGGGTCCTTCCTCTGCAGCAGCCCTCCTCCTCCACCTTGTTGGTAGGGATGCCTACCAAGGAGGAAGCCAAGATCATGTTCTTTGGGACTGAAGACAGACCTCCACTCCACTACTTGAATACAGTTGCAGGGCCTGGGCAGGAAGGGGCTGTCACACAGTCACATCAGGGCCATCACGTCTGCACCTCTAACAGCTGTTGGCAAACCTTGCACTATCCTTGTTCTAAGACGGCACAAGGGGACAGCCCACTGTGATACCCATAACTCCTGCTCAACGGCTGCCTGGCTTTTAGAGTCAAGGACAGTGAGGTAGCCACAACCATAACCCAGACCAAGTGCCCTGAAAAAAGGGCTGTGTGGGCTACCCCACCCAAGCCTCCTCCAAAGGCACTTGGGCTGGCCCCATCAGGCACTGGTGTTTCACAAACCACGAGAACACCCATGGGCACAACACTGCTCTTCGTGAGGAGATAAAGAGGTATGCCCACTCTTCTTGTCCAACCCACATCTGTCCCTCCCAGTTTCTCCTTTTGCCCTCACAGTGTATAAGAAGTCCAAGTAAGCTCAGCTGCCAGCCCTGGTCCTATTTTCGTTCAAACAGGAAGTAATGTGTAGGGCTGTGGAACACCAAAGGCCTATGGTAACAAAAAGCGGCTGGACCAGTCATAGTCCTTTAGGACTGTGCGTCTCCAGATCACCTGTGTCCCCGTTTACCTGCTGAAATTGCTCTTGATAAACCAAACAAAAGCAGAGCAAACCCTCCTCAGTCCTTTTCACTCAGCTGCCAGTTCCAGTCCAAGGTTGTGGGAACGTTCCAGTCTTGGTCCTGTACCTTTGAGTCCCCACCTATGACCTCAGCTAAGGGTCCAGGGACCAGCTCCCCTGCCCAGGAATGCTGTGGAACTTTCCCGAGATCCGCATAGTCTCCGACTATTTACAGAACTGAGGTTCTGGAGCCGCTGTCCTCCGATGCTCTCCTCTGCTCACCTGGGGCCACTCCTCTAGGAAGGGGACAGGTTCAGAGGGAGCGGTGGTGGGGCCATCAGAGCAGAGGCTGTGCTCTTCGGTGGGCTCTTCTCAGCACTCCCACCACCTGGGGTCCCTGTGTCTATAGAGAAAACTGCCCATCAGATGTCTTGGACTGGCATCCTTGGCACATCCGTTTGTGTCTGAGTAGTCGGTCTGTCCGAGAAAAACACTGTGGAGAGAGAAAGGATTAAGTTCCAAGAGAAATTCAGTCGCCTGTTAGTAGGTTCCTTCCTCGAAGAGAAGGCATATGCTATGTTCTTGTTCCCTTACCATCCCCACAGCAGGAGCATACAGTGGTTAGGAGCACCTATGTTGGCTGGGGATGGTGGCACATGCCTTTAATCTCAAGACTCAGGAGGCAGAGAGGCAGGTGCATCTCTATGAGTTCGAGGCTAGCCTGGTCTACATAGTGAGTTATAGGACAGCCAGGGCTATATAGACAGAACCTGTCTCAAACAACAGAAAGGACCAAATGCTGGTTCTAGGGGCTTGGGATGCAGCTTAGCTGGTAGGGTGCTTGCCTAGTACACATGAAGCCCTAGATTTGATCCTTAGTACCCGATACACTGAGCACGGTGGTGCACACCTTTGATCCCACCCAGCACTCGGGAGCCAAAGGCAGGAAGATCAGACATTCAAACTCATCCTTGGTTACACAGAAAGTCAGAAAACGCCGGGCGGTGGTGGCACAAGGCTTTAATCCCAGCACTCAGGAGGCAGAGGCAGGTGGATCTCTGTGAGTTCAAGGCCAGCCTGGACTACAGAGCGAGATCCAGGACAGATAGGGTTACAGAGAAACCCTGTTTCGAAAAAACTAAAAGGAAGTTGGAATCCAGTGTAGACTGCCTAAGACCCATCTCAAAAAGGGGGAGGTGGGGCTGGTGAGACGGCTCAGCGGGCGAAGGCCCGGCGCCAAGCCTGATGACCTGAGTCTGATCTCTAGAACCAACATAACAGAAGGAGGTCCTCTGACCTCCACACCTGTGCTGTACTATATACACACAATAAACGTTAACAACAAGAAGCAGCCAGTGCTGGAGCAGAGGGCCTGGACTCGGAATGCTGGTTCTGTCATCTAGTCATGTGACAATGGGTAAGCTCCCTGACAGTCCTGACCCTGTCTGTTTACCTGAAGGAACAGGTTAAGAGCACCCAACACAGCGTAGCTGCTTCCCTCCTCAAACACTTGTTGTTTATTTTGCCGGAGTGGAGATCAACCCCAGGGGAGGACACACTTGCCAAGACTCACCACGGGGATGCACACCACCAGCTTCTCATCACATATTTATCTTAGGTGTGAACACTTTTGGGCCAAAGGACAGGGTGGAAACCTTGTATTTCTTCGAGACAGGCCTTGCTGCTTAACTGAGGCTGGCTTAGAACTTGTGGTCCTCCTGCTCTGCTTCTCCTGAGTGCTGGGATCACAGTGTGTGCTAGGCTCCTCATGGTGTTACCTTCCAGTGTTCTGGCTTGGTGACGAGAGCTCACACCATGCAGGCTGAACTTAAACTTTTTACGGGCAGCAGAGGGTGCCTCTCAGATGCTGGTTTAGAGCCACACACCATCACCACCAGCAGCAGCTCTCAGCCTAGCATTCTAAGACTCTAAGCAGAGCATCCAGGAATATCAGTTCCTGTCCTTTCTCATCTCCTGTTGTGTCTGGCTTGGCCCTCACACTTACATTCTCATCAGATCAGACACTGGACCTCAGGGCAGAGGTTACATCGCTTCCTTCACAGTGCAGGTGCTTTGGAGTTGGACTAAATATCAGCTCCATTCTTACCTGCTGCGTGGGGAGAATTAACCTCCCTGAACTTATTTCCCCGTTACGTGAAAGGAAGACAACACAGCTACCTATGAGATAATGGGATCAAAACATGCCCAGCACTCCTCAAATCCTGTCAAGCTGGAACTCAAGAAATGAAATTATCAGGCAGGTCTCTGTGAGTTTGAGGCTAGCCTGGTCTACATAGTGAGTTCCAGGACAGCTAGAACTACACAGTGAGACCCTGACTCAAGGAAAACAAAACAAACAAACAAAAAACCCTGAACCAAACCAAACAAAAATAAATGATATTATGATATTCTAACAAGCAGTCCGCATGATTAGCCCCGTAAGGTCAGCGATGTGCCTCTTTTTGAGGCGCTAACTGTATTATGGAAGCCCCTCTGTCAGCCAGGAAGGGACTGGCTCTGCTTCTGGGAGAAGGAAAACTTGATGTGTGCTGCTGTTCCAGGGCAGATGACAGGCAAACCTTACCTGATGACATCGTTCACACTGGTAAGGCTTTTCACCACTGTGTACACGCTTGTGGCGTTCAAGATGGTACTTCTGGATGAAACGCATATCACATACATCACACTCAAATGGTTTCTCACCTGGCCAGAGGCAAAAAGAAGTGAGTACCAAGAGTCGTTTATGGTAGGGACTGCATTCCAGCTGTCTTCCAGACACCTTAGTGATCATAAAAATGTCAAATTGCTGGTCTCAGTGACACCAGACACAGAGCCATGCAATCCCTCTGTGTCACTCAACTTATCCTCTGCCTCCACTTCTAATGCTCTCCTGGAAAACAAACCCAGCTGGAATACAAGCTACAGCCTATTCTCCCCCATTTGAATGCAAGCTTGAATACAGGCAAGAGACTTACCAGTGTGAATAAGGATGTGCCTCTTGAGGTGGTAACTGCTCCTAAAAGCTCCAAAGCAGTGTTCACAAATAAAATTTTTGGGAATCTTTACTTGAAAAGAGCCATTTTGTTCCACTACCACCACCTGGGGGCAACAATCAGGCATGTCATAGAGGTATCTCTCTGCCCTCTTCCTAGAGACTGTTCTACTCTGGGTCCAATTCCAGCTGCTGGACAAAGAACCTCTCTGATACTGTGAAAGGTGCTGTCTCCTGTCATATCCCTTAGGCTAAGAGTCATGAAGAGAAGAGAGACTGGGTGAACCAGCTGTCTTGCCACAGCTAACACTCAGTATGAATGAGTGGGGTTGGCCTGCCCCTGCCACAAGAGCACACGTCACTCTCCCCACCTGTACCAAGAACGGTCAGCAGGGGTGGACAGCAACTGTCAGAGTGGCCTTGGATGAAATCAGAGCACAAACTCACTACGGAAAAACGTGAGCCAGAGTGATAAGAAAGAGATGACCCATTACCAAACTGTATGAGTTCGGGGGCTGACCCCATTACCTGCCTTTTTAACAGTCTTTTTTGAATGAGAGGCCTCAGTCAAGCTGTCATCGTCTTTGCGGTTCCGGGATTTATCACTGTCTTTTCGGTGGCCCTTTGAAGACAAATCAAATCTAAACTTACAGTCCATCTCAGAACACAAGATGAGAAACCGAATGCTGTTTCTTGACAAACAGTTTATAAAGGAGAGTAAACCACCTGCTTCCTCTCCACAATCCACTTCCTCTTCGTCTTTCCTGGTCTAGGAGTTTGTAGGTACAAGCACCTTCCTCAACTCTCCAAACACCCACACTCATTCTTTCCCAGCTGGACCCCAGTCCCCACTTCCCTAACAGAAGCAACAAGACAAAGCAAGGAGGAGCCATAGCTTGGTGCCTCCTGGCAGAGCTCGGGCTACCCGACCCCCAGGCGCCACAAAGGACTCAAGTGCTGTACCTGACTCGAGCACCTCAGCACATCAGGGCTACCTGCCCGCTCGCCATTTTCGGCCTGCTTGCTGGCAATCTGGCTCAGCATCATCTTCTTGCTGGCTGCAGTGGGAACCAAACTCACACCCGCTAGGCCTTCACAAGCCAGAAGACTTGCCTAAGTTGAAAGGAGATGAGGTATCAGGTCACCTGGCAGGACAGGACAAAAACAGGCTGCTATCCTCCACACAGCTACTGTCTACACCCAGCAACAAACTGCTTCTCTCCAGGAACAACTCCCTCACCATCAAGCCTTGCTTCCTTCAAGCCCTTTCTAACTGTCTCACCAAGAACTGCTGCCCTCTTTGCATCCCACAGCAATGAAACACAGATCAAGTTAATAATCAAACAGCGTCAACACTTGTGGTTACTGTACCAAACAGTGTGTGTGGCCACATATTACCTAAGGCATTTCTGAGCTTTAACTACAGGTATGAGGTCTGTCTGTCTGACCCACTGAAATTGGAGATTCCTAGCAATGTCTTTCTTCCAAATTCTTTTATTTTTATTACCTTTACCTATTTATTTTGTGTGTGTGCTCATGCCAGCGTTACAGTGGAGATCAAAGGACCAGAGGTTCTCTCCCTCCACATGTGGCTTCTGGGGATTTAATTCAGGTTGACAGCAGGCTCCTTCATCTGCTGAACCATCTTGCTGACTCCTCTTCTATTTAAGATTCTATTTTTACTACTACTTTTTATTTTATGTGTGTGTATGCACACATGCATCATGTGCCACATGTGGGCAGGTGCCCAAGGAGACCAGAAAGGGGTGTCAGATCCCCTACAGCTGAAGTTAGTTGTGAGCTGGCTGATGTGGGTGCCGACCTGAATTTGGGTGAAGTGCTCTTAACCGCTAAGCAGTGTGGTCCCCAGTAGTGCTCAGATTCAAAGCCAATTTCAGATGGGCAGACCTTGCTGGTGCCAACTACATTTTCTTTTTTTCTTTTTTTTTTTCTTCCGAGACAGTATTTCTCTGTGCAGCTTTGGAGCCTGTCCTGGAACTCACGATATAGCCCAGGCTGGCCTCGAACTCACAGAGATCCACCTGCCTCTGCCTCCCGAGTGCTGGGATTAAAGGCATGCACCACCACTGTCTGGCACCAACCACATTTTCTATCAGGCTATTTCTCACTTTAGCTTTTAAATTTCCTAAGTGCTGTCAGTTACAGCAAACAGAAAACCTAAATCACCTCGATTCTGGAGTTGAATATACAGTTTCTTTTGACCACTTAGGCCATTTATTTACTTATTTATTTATTTTGGTTTTTCTAGACAGGGTTTCTCTGTATAGCCCTGGCCATCCTGAAACTCACTCTGTAGAGCAGGCTGGCCTTGAACTCAGAGACCTGCCTACCTCTGCCTCCAAGTGTTGGGATTAAAGGCGTGCGCCACCACACCTGCTCCCACTGCTCCCACTTTACTTAGGCCATTTATGTGTGTGCACTACATAAAGTTTAAAAAAGTTAATTAAACAGGGGTGCTTTAAGAAATAATTCAAAAAAGTTAGTCCAAAGTTAAAAATCTTAGCTCTGCTGTTTGGGTTGTGTAATTTTGGGCAAGTCTCTCTCTCTTTGAAGCCTTGCTTCCCTCACATGTGAAATGCCTGTCAGAATGCCTACCCTCCCAGGATGGAGGAGAATGAGACTGATGTGAAATGCTCAGCAGAACAGTAAACACCACGCTGTGGACTAAGCTGCACATAGACAAAGAAAGACGAAATCCAGAGGCTCTACTCTGCCGGGGAGGAGAAGCCGCGTGTGCTGCGGCACTTGGAAGAAAGCCAATCCCACTACAATCAGGCTGCCATCCTGGTGAACTGGTACAGGAGGTGTCCTCAAAGAAAGCTCAGAGAAGCACGCAGCAGCTATCCGCTCAGAAGACTACAGCAGGCCCTCTTGTCCTTCCAATCCATCTGCCACCTTCACAGTGACAACTATCTTCTCAAAGACATTTACTCCGCTGTTGAACATTCCGGAGGGAGTTCCCACTCCCTAGAGAGTAGCATCTAATTCCTTAGGAAGGAACAAAAAGCCCTTGGGCCACACTCCGCTGACTTCTCCAGAAAACAACTCCCCCATTCATCCTTATTTACCCTGTCTCCCTAATGATGCCCCATTTAATCCTCTGCTCCCTAACTACCTAACTACCGAACTACAGGTAGTACCCTGGACCTCATCACACTTTCCCACGCCTCTAAGTCTGTGCCCACGCAGTCCCTCTGTCTGAATGCCCTTCTGTTTGTTTATTTAGCAAAATCCTATGCGTCCTTCAGGCTTCATTTTCTTTCCTCCATCCAGGCAGAAGCACCACTTTGCAGTAACATCCCTTCCACCACCGCAAACTCCTTTAGTCAACAGACGCAGAGACTCTACTACCAGCCAGCCATTATGCAAGGCATTGTGAATATAAAAATAAATAACCGACTGTCTTTCCATCCCTCCCCTCCCCCCCACTAGCCTGGAAGCTTACTGGGGACAAGGACAATCTTATTCATCTTTGTATTCCAAGCACAATGCCTTGCATGTAACAGGAGCTCAATAAAATTCCTGTTGAAAAAAAAAAAACAAATGAAGCATTCACCAGACTATTCACTCCCTTATGCCCAAGTACTCCACGTACCAGAGGTACACTGAGTACAAGGTACTGTGCCAACGGCCCAGCAGTGCCTGTGATGTGGTATAGCCTACCTCCTTCATTTGACTGGAAGCTCCCTGAAGGCAGGGAGGCCTGTCTCCTTTCCTTCCTCTAGATCTCCCCCTGGTGCTTAATACAGAGCTCGGCTCACTGGGGATGGTCAATACTGTTGGCTAAGGCAGAATTCAAGAGTGACATTGCAAACAGGCTTCCCAGTGAACGGTCTTGAAGGAGGACGCTAGAGCTTTTTACCTGAGCCATGCTGACTTTTCACTTAATGAACCCCAAAGTTCAGAAGTTCTTTATCCAGCTTTCCTTAAGACACTGTTGTTTGGAGAACTGTCACCAAACCACAGTAATGGCTCCTTCCTGTCCTTTCTGTTCAGCTGCCATATTGAACAGCCTTTGTCTTCTCAAAGAATTTAGTGTCCTCCAAAGGGAAAACAGGTGTTGCAAAAATCCGAGGTCTCTGACTTCTGCCTATTGCCTGAAGAAACGAGAGTCTATCAGTCTTGGTTTCCCAGTTGAATTCTCTTGGTGAAGCTCTAGGTCCGCTCCAGAAACCTGAAACCAGAAAGGGAGACAGGCCCTTAAGTGCAACATCCTCAGGCCATACAGTAAGTGACGCTCTCTCAACTTATTCTGCTGGTGCTCTGAAGCTCAAAAGGAGGACATGAGTCAAGCGCTTTCTTTCTAGGTCAGTAGAAGAAACTGGCCTCCTGGGCCAGGAGGAGCAGCCAACAGGAGTAAAAGTAAGTTGGGTCTCCTACGGAGAATCTGCCAACACAGTAAGCGCTCAGATTTGCCATCTTAGGAACGGAAGAAGGGGGCGGAGGCCCTCTGGGGCTTTTGTGCCGAGTGGGCCGGCCTGCAAGGCTGGCACATCCACAGACGCGGGCAGAACCGCGGTGGAGGGAAGCTCGGGGGGCCACGGCCGAGCGCCGGGGTGGGTGGCTGGCGGACACCGACTCGGCAGCAGCGCCCGCACGTGAGCGTTAACTCGGCGTCCGCCCGAAGGTACGCAGATCGGCCGCGGAGGTGGAGGGCGGGCGAGCTCCTCTGCGAGCAAGCAGCGGCCGCAGCGCGCGGACCCGGGGCCGAGCCCCGGGCCGGGCGAGCCGCGCGCGACCTGCGTGCCCGCGCCCGCGCCCCCTCCCGGCGAGCCCCCTCACCCCCGGCGGCGGGGAGGGCGGGGCGGGCGGGGCGGGGGCGGCCGCGGCCCTCCCCTCGCGGCCGCCCCCTCCCTCCGCCGCCGCGCGCCCCTCCTCCGCCGCCGCGCTCCCCTCCCCCTTCGCGCGCGGCGCCCCACGGCCTGCGAGCTGCTGAGGCGCCGCCGTCCGCCCGCTCGACGCTGCCTCCCCGCGGCGCGCGCCTACCTGCCCGGCGCGGCCGCCCGCCGTCTCCTCCGCCGCGCGGCGCCTCCGCCGGGCCCCGAGCACCCCGTGCCAAGCCCGCGGCCGCCGCTGCCCGCGCCGGGACCGAGGCAAGTTTACAAACACCAACCCGGGGCCCGTTTCCCCGGAAGCACTTCTCCCTCCCCCTCGTCTCCTTTGCCGAGCGGCCACATCCACTTCCGGGCCCGGGAGCCTGGACAGGAGGGGGCCGCCGAAAAGGGGTGAGGCTGGGGACGCGCGGAGCGCTGCAGCTGGCGGGTGGGAGGGGTGGCGGCCGGGAGGACCGGAGGAGGGTGGTGCGAAGGGGCGCGCGTGCGCCGTGGCGCGGTGGCGCCTCGGCCGCCATCTTGACTGAGGGCAGGCACCCGGCTCGCTCCGCGAGTCTGCAAGGGGCTGAGTGTTCTTGGAGAGGGTTCGCTGGGGAGCGCTGCTTGGCTCCTGGAACACCTCCATCTCTCTCTCTCCTGGTGCTCCTAAGTCCGGAGCCCCAAATAGAAGCTAGAACAGTTCGTGCTTCTTATCTTTTCGTTTCACTTGGTCGGGTTTGTGTGTCCGGAGCTTGCTGTCCGGCGCAGACCTGCAGGCTGTGGGGAGAAGAGTTAAATCATTGCGCAGCCTTGCGGTACACACTATCAGTCCCGGAGACGTTCTCCAAGTACCCAAGACCGCCCTGCTCCGGTCCCGCAACCTTGTGCCCCGAGCCAGACTCGTTAGTTTCTCTCCTCCCTATTCTAGGTGATCTAACCTAGGCTTCAGTGCAGGAAAAGACCTTTTCCCCTTCGGTGGACTAGTCTTCTTGGAGACTTGAACATGCATGTTGCTCCCTGGGCCAGGCTGCATTTGAAAAGAGGAAACTAAAAGATGGAATACTCGAAGTGCACGCTTAGCAGAAGGAAACGTGAATTCCTCGGAAGTTCTAGTTTCTATTCTAGCTGCTGTCTTGTGAGCTTAGGAGACTGCAAGACACTATCGAAGAAAAAAAAAGTCTATAATGAAATAAGATAAGGTTTCCTAATCATAGCCCTGCACATTTTAGACCATTAAAGTAATTTCCATGTCCTCTTAGGATCACCCTAAAATTGACATACAACGGAGAGAAATGTCACCAGGAACGTTTTAAAAACAAATTGGGGCCCAGGGGAGATGGACCAGCTATTAAAAGTGCTTGCTGGGAAGCCGGGCGGTGGTGGCGCATGCCTTTAATCCCAGCACTTGGAAGGCAGAGCCAGGTGGATCTTTGCGTTTGAGGCCAGCCTGGTCTACAAAACCAGTTCCGGGATAGCCAGGACTGTTACACAGAGAAACCCTGTCTGGAAAAACCAAACCAAACAACAACAAAAGAGTGCTTGCTGGGACATCTTGAATCTTGTCAGCCAGGTAACAAACCTGGTCATGGGAATATGCCTGTAAACCCAGCTCTGAGGAGGGCGGAGACTGGAGGACTCTGGGACTTGCTGGTTTCCAGCCTAACAGGGAATTGGAGCCCCAGGTTGCAGGAGAGACCCTGCTTCTAAAGGACTGGGTAGAGTAATAGGCCGGACATGAAATACCTTCTTCTGACCTCCGGGTGTGCACAGGCACTTGAACCTGCACAGACACACACACAGACACAGACACACACACACACTAAACACGTTTTTTAAAATTAGTTTAAGCAAGGAAGTGTGACAAACACCTTTTAAGTCCAGCATCTGGAAGGCAGAGCAGGCAGATCTCTGTGAGTTCGAGGCCAGCCTGGTCTACAGCGCAAGATCCAGGACAGGCAGCTTATCCATTGCCAGTCTACAGGATACAAAATTATAAGAAAATGGTTAATTTTTCTTCTAGTCATGCTCTTGAAGATAATCATTCTTATCATTGTTTTATTATTATATATTTAAAATTTTTATCTTTATGTGTGTATGAGTGTTTTGCCTGCATGTATGTCTGTATATCACTTGAGTGCCTGGTGTCCTTAGAGGCCAGAAGAGGGCGTAGAATACCTAGAAACTGTTATTGGAGACTCCTATGAACCACCTGGAGTTACAGACAGTTGTGATTCGCCATGTGGATGTTGTGATTTGAACCTGGGTCCTCTGGAAGAGCAGCCAATGCTCTAAACTGCTGAGCCATCTCTCTAGCCCCTACTATTATATTCTTGGTGCTGGGGATAGATGGAATCCATGGCCTGGCATATTTCAACAGTCAGCTACCGAGTTCTCTTCTACTCTCCACCACTCCCCAAGTCTTATTGGTTTGGTGACCTCTGTACCGTGACACTTCTTCTGAATTCATACAAATATTTTTTCACCCAGTACGTGTTTTTTTCATCACTTATAATGTGCCAGAAAGTATATTTTACTTTCTGTTTTTGGGGTAGGACCTTAGGCTGTAGCTCAAGCTGGCTTCAAAGTCTCCCAAGTTCTTCCTGCCTCAGCCTTGAGTGTTGGGTTACAAACCCAGCAGTGTATGTTTGACATTTGAGTGCAAGTTCATATTTTCAGAATTGTTTCACAACAAAAGCTGTGTGAGATGATACATACCAGTTGTCCCAGCTGCCTGAGAGATTGAAGCAAGAGGATCCCTTGAACCCAGAAATTCAGAAGCCTGAACAACAAAGCAGCACAGTGAGACTGTCTCAAGACAAAAAACAAAAGCAAAATGAAACTAAACAAAAATCACCCAAGGCAAACCACCCCAGACAGTCGGAGTTCCTAGTGAAGGGGCCACGATCATCCATGTACTTGGGAGATAGGTAGAAGCAGGTGAGAGGCCCAGTATCGACTCAGGACCACCAAGACCAAGTTCTCAGCACAAAAGAGACTTATTTGCCCCAGAGGGACAAAGGGCAGGGAATAAGAGACAAAGACAGGAGACAGAGTATGGGAGAGAAGGGGAAGGGGACAAGGGAGGGGGAGGGATGGTGGGAGGGGCATTTGTCCTGGAGTGGGACAAAGGATTGCCTCTGGATCCAGAGGAGACAGACCCATAGGCAAATGGCAGTTTATAAAGGTAAAAGGGGAAACCCTGTGTTGGGATGAGGTGTTTAATTTTAATTTAGCGTGTTAATTAGGTGAGTCTTGATTGCTAGACTTCAGTACTTTGATAGCTGGACCTTGGTAGTCAGCCTCAGAAGGAGGAAGTGGACAAATAAGGGAATGGACCTTGGTGGCTTGCTTTCGGAATGTAATCTAACAGTTTTTAGGAAGGCAGAGGGAATGAGGGAGAAGGGCAAGGCCTGCCAGAGCCATGTTTGCCATGTTCAAACTGGCTAGAGTCCCTTCAGCAGGAGAATCAGAACCTCAAGGTCATCCTTGGGCTATATGGTACCCTGTCTTGGGGAAGAAACAAACAACAACAACAAAAAGATGATAATAATTCAACAGTGGACTTCCTTAGGTAGTTATCTTCTCACATTTACTTAAGAGTATTTGATTGTGACTAAATACTTTTAAGATTTAATTTTTAATCATATGTGTATTAGTTTTTAAATGTATGAAAGTTTTGCCTACATGTATGTATGTGCATCATATGTGTGCAGTACCCTAAGAGGCCAGAAGAGGGTGTTGGGACCCCTTGAACTGGAGTTATAGATGGTCCTGTGCTGGGAACCAAACCTGGGTCCTCTGCAAGACCAATAACTGCTCTTATCACAGTCATTTCTCCAGTCTACAACTCCTTGTTTTTTTTTGGGGGGGGTTGTTTGTTTGAGGCTGGGTTTCTTTTTCTTTCTTTTCTTTTTTTTTTTTGGTTTTTTGAGACAGGGTTTCTCTGTAGTGTAGCTTTGGAGCCTGTCCTGGAACTTGCTCTGTAGACCAGACTGGTCTGTAGATCCACCTGCCTCTGAATCTGAGTTTTAGGATTAAAAGTGTATGCCACCACCACCTGACTAACTCCTTGTTTTTCGTTTTATTTCCATTTTAATTGTGCCGAAGTTTGGAACCATTCTGTTGTATAGCATAGCTATGCCAATTTTTTAACTTTTTCCTTTAAAACATGTATATATATATATTTATTTTATTTGTACCTGTGTGTATGAGTACATATGTGTACAAGTGGAGGTCAGAGCATAAATTCTTTCAAAAACAAAAACAATGTGTTTTTGTAGCCCTGGCTGTCCTGGAACTTATGTAGACCAGGCTAGCCTTGAACTTTCAGAGTTCTGCCTGCCTCTGCCTCCCAAGTGCTGGGATTAAAGACAAAGTCCACGATGCCCTGCTAGCAGACAAATTTTTTGTTTTGTTTTTCGAGACAGGGTTTCTTTGTGTAGCCCTGGCTGCCCTGAAACTTGCTCTGTAGACCAGGCTGGCCTTGAACTCACAGAGATCCACCTGCCCTTGCCTCCCAAATTCTGTCTGGGATTAAAGGCATGTGCCACCACCTCCCAGCCAGAGGTCAGCTTTTGAGAGTCAGTTCTCCGCTTCTACCATTTGGGTCCAGGGATGGAAAAACTCAGTTCACCAGGCTTGAGAGTGAAGGCCCTTACCTGCCGCACCATCTCAAAGGCCCCAGTAGCTAGCTGTCCAGATCTCTTTGCCCTTAGGCAAGACTCCTCTGATATAGTGTGCCTCTGTCAGACTATCAGGCTCACTCCATCACTTTTTTGTTTTTTTTTTTTGAGTCAGGGCTTCTCTGTGTAACAGC